TCCGCAAAATATATTTTAGTATTTTAAAATATTTAATAATTTATTTAGCAAAAATATAATTGTCTTTTGCGGCAATTACAGCCTCAATTCTCTGAGGTATTGATTCATACAAATTGTTAATTCTTTCCAAAGGAATTTTACCCAGTCTTCAGTTAAAGCTCCCTGAGGCTCCCTCCAGCTCTTTTAAAGACGATGGCGACGGGAATCGACTTCAGTGATTTGCATCAGTAAAATCGACCACAAATGCTCAATAATATTCAGGTCTAGTTATTGTAGAGGCCAAATGAGATGTTCAACTTCATTAGAATGTTCCTCGCGCCATTTTTTAACAATTCTAGCTGTTTGTATCGGGGCATAATCATCTTGAAAGATGGCGTGGCGTTCCTCACCGGAAAGAGTGCTTGAACCATTGGATGAACTTGGTCCTCCAAAATTCCTAAATAGTCACGGCTGTTGATTCTTCCGTGAAGAGAAATCATTGGTCCACCGGATTTTCAAGAAAATAGCGCCCCAGATCATCACAGATGCCACGCCACATTTTACGGTTGGGAGGAGGCAGTCGGGATTAAATGACTCTTGGCTATCACCAAACGTAAACTCGGCCAGAGGTTGGAAATAAGGTAAACGATGATTCGTCAGAGAAAATCACGTTTTTCCACTGCTCGAGAGACCAATTTTGAAGGTTTCTAAACCACTCTAATCGCTATGAAGCATTTGTATATGAAATCCGAGGTTATCTAATTGCAGTTCTTCCATAGAATCCAGCTCTGTGCAGCTCTCGGTGGACAGTCTGTATGGAAACTTTGTTCCGTAGGTGTCCATTGACGTCTGCAGTGACTTTAACAGTCATGGTCTTTCGGTTGTCCCTCAGAATTCGATATAGGTACCGAAGGTCTCTCTCAGACAACTTCGACCTTTGGCCAGACCTGTGCTTTGCTGAGGACGTTCTCCCTTCTCTTTCAAAAGTAGTCAGTACTATTGAGGCAGTACCTCTAGAAACGTCAAGCATTCGGGAAGTTTCGTCAAACTAGCACCTACCATACGGTCACCAACAATTTGGCCTCGTTGCAAGTCAGAGAGGTTTGCCATTTATAGGTTAGGTTATTGATACAAAAATCTACTCAAAATATCTGTGCAAGGATAAAAGATCAATTAACAGCAAAAATGAGCAATAAAACATCATAATATGTCACGTTTTCATTGTTTAGAACATGATAAAATTTACGATATCAAAATGCCAGGTGTTTCCCTAATTTTGTCCAACCCATCCATGTATAATAGATTAGCATTCGATTACAAGTGAAAAAGATTTGGCTGCCTTTAGATTTGATATCGATTGCCATTAGAAGTCTATTTATAATTTACACAACGTATTCAAGATTTTATTAGGATTTTTTTAATGAGTCTCTGTACCCGTCGCATGTTTGATTAATCGGAGTGAATTCATTTAATGCAATGTGTAAATAATAATTCTATTAATATCACGGGACGTCGCTATTGCTGCCTCGCGTAGGCGACGAATATGTGCACAGGACGGCACTGTGATGGTTCTATGGGCGCTTCAATTATGGAACCAAATTATTAATGAAACCTTCACGATATATGAAGCCCTTGTAACGCTGAGCATTGTGCGCTGCCACACACGAGGCTACTCAATAGCTTCACTGTCACAGCGTTCAGTGAGAGATCATTTGCAGTGAATGATCAAAGCTTCACTGAAACGGCGTCTGATGAGAGATCATTGGCAGTGAATGATCAATAGCTTTACTGTCGCAGCGTTTGATGAGAGATCAGGGACAGTGAATGATCATTGGCTACACTGTTGCGACGTTTGGTGAGAGATCATTGGCGGTGTGAGCTGCGGTGGTGTAGTGGTGAGAAACTCTGTCGCTCGCACCCAGCTCCCGGGTTCGAGTCCCACTGAGGACAAGTTCTTCCGGGAAGCTCAGCTCATGGTCAACTCAGCCATTCATCCAACTCTGGTTAATAAATGAGTACCTGTCTTGTCCAGGGTGTTGTGTAATGCAAAAATGGTTCTGGCGGGCCAGCGAGCCAGTAATGGTCGTGGAACTACCAGTGGCACCAAGTGCCCGCAAAAAACGACCTATCACCCCCTCCCCTGCCTAGTCGCCACTACCAGGATGTGCAGTTACAACAACAACGAGATCATTGGCAGTGAATGATCAATAGCTTCACTGTCACAGCGTTTGATGAGAGATCTGTGACAGTGAATGATCAATAACTTCACTGTCACAGCGTTTGATGAGAGATCAGTGACAGTGAATGATCAATAGCTTCACTGTTGCGACGTTTGATGAGAGAACCGTGGCAGTGAATGATCAATAGCTTCACTGTTGCGACGTTTGATAAGAGATCAGTGACAGTGAATTATCAATAGCTTCACTGTTGCGACGTTTGATGAGAGAACCGGGGCAGTGAATGATCAATAGCTTCACTGTTGCAACGTTTGATGAGAGAACCGNTTGAAAATATAACTGACAATTTGTTTCTAACGCCACCGGTGCGCAGGAGATTTTGCAGTAAACGACGTGATTTGTGTTCAAATTCAGTCTAGTTAATTCCTTCAGAATTCTGCGTCATTAATAGCTATGATATGAACGTGAAAGCGGCACAATAATGCTCAACTTTTCCTCCAAATTTGCGGTGAATTTTAATTTCCAAAGTGAAATGTCCCTGTTGAGATTAAAATAACTGTAATGGATTAATATACACACTTGGCAGTGACTAAGGAAATGTGCACAAATTGTTAAATAGTGAGTAAAATTCTCATATGGGATTTGCTGCAAAAGCGCTTCCTCTTAACTCGTGTTTATAAGGCCATTATTTCTAACCAGCGTTCATCGTCCCAGTAATGTAGGCTGGCTAGGCCATTTTGGGGGGGAACGTCCCCGGGGGAGGAGGGGTGTGAGGAACGGGGGAGGGAGAGGATGGGGGGTTGTAGGGAAGGATAATAATTAATGCTGGCGCTGCTCTCCGCCCTCTAGTTGAAAAATTTATATTGGGTTGTGCAATAATAGATTGCAAATAAACATGAAGAAAATAAAATCGATATATAATTATTATCCATCGCTCGCTTATCCAAAATTGGATATTGTTTTCATGATTACAGGATCAGTATTTATTACTAGCCTTAATGTCCGTCTTATTAATAATAATTATTTTTCTACAGTGACGAGCTTCTACAGTCCCTCAAAAGGATACCTGCTTGAAGCCCTGTGGCTTATAATATTTCAGATCTTACTTAGCAGGTTGAGAAATTTGATGTTAACCGAGATACATGATTCGGGAGTTCGATCAGATGCCGGCTTAGGAGACTCCAAAATGATATCTCTCATCAAATATTTTATAATCCGTTCCCATTTAAGTGTCGGAGGAAGGGCTTGCACTAATATCTTGAGAACAAAAAAATTATGTTCAGAAGAGATGTGCGATTTCCTTCATTCTTGTCAAGTCTCAATGCTTGATGATCCAACAGCTAAGCGCAATATCCAAAAGAACTAACATTCCACTCAAGTCAATGTTTGACGAACGATCCAACTGCTGTACGCAATATCCAAACCAGCTTGCATTTCAGTCTAGTCAAAGTTGATGTTCATTTGATTGTGCAAAGAATTGCCGCTACGCGAGAAAGCGATGTGCGAATTCGGCCACGATCTGTGGAGCCTCCGAATTCGCCAATAGCCGCCAAATTCGCCAATCTCAGCACTTTGCTTTCTCGCTTAGCGGCAATTCTTTGATCCAAGTTGATAGATTTTACCTGGTTTTGAATCTTTCTTTAGAATCAAGTCGAATTGAATTTAAATATATTTTGAAATTATAACTAATACCGTAAACTAAATGGATATGAAATTATGGTATATTCTTTGTTGAAAGAATTAACGTTTGCGTCGGGCTTCATTAGCATACGATTGAAATGAAATTTTCTTATTGAGGTGAAAATAAATTTGCTTCCCGCGTTTTACGGTTGATGACAGAAGACGTGATGTATAGCGAGCTAGACAATACATCACCGACCACACGCCAGTCCCAGGTCTCAGTTGATGCTAAATAAAACATCATCGGTCACGTACCGAGCTACACTGACCTGGAAGTGACCTGTACAATAAATCTTGCTCTGGTCTCCAAAACTTGTTGATCGGAGACAGCGTACTGGAGCACCGCGAACTTTGCTCATTAGGAACAAAGTCCTTTTGTGAGCACATTTTCTGCTTCTCGCAGAACTTTGCTTGTATATTTTCGGTCGCTCCGAGTCACTAAAGTTGACTCGAGGAAATGCTGCCAAGTTATATTTATTCTTCTGGCCTTGATAAATAGAATACACTGCAAACGTCCATGACTCGTTCGACCGCAACTGTTTCTAGGAAAATATGCTTGATCAGTGTCCTATATTCGAATTGTTAAATCCGATTTCAATGTGCAAGGACAACTATCTGCTTTATTGAATTACAACAACAAATTAACAATATATATGAAATCATGTCATATTAAAAATTTCTCAATTTTTGTACGAAAATGTAAGGTACCGAGAACTTTTTAACCCAGGGCAGGTTAAGGTGTCGGTAATTGTTTCAGCTTCAAATTCTAGTTTGCCAATACTAGTCCGAAGGAAGTTAGATTGGACGTGCATTCAGAATCAGTATCTTATTTTGAAATGATAATTAATGCATCGTTCAGTTGAATTTAGATTCACCTGTTTGCTTAATTTAATTACGTACTCTCATAGTATATATGATATGTTTCCGGATCATTCCACCCCAAGAGAGTCGTGCCTAGGACTGACTGTCAGCGNTGCCTTGTATCTCCACCCTGTATCTCTGCCCTGTATCTCTGCCCTGTACCTCTACCCTGTACCTCTGCCCCTGTATCTCTGCCCTGTATCTCTGTGTATCTCTGCCCTTTATCTCCGCCCTGTATCTCTGCCTTGTATCTCTACCCTATATCTCTGCCCTGTATCCTTACAAGAGCTCTTATGTTTGCAGTTACGACGTTCGTCAGGGCCTGTACTCGCGGCCTAAGGAATGGTCGGACGCGGTGCTGTTGGGCAACAGAGCCCACTTCTCGGTGGCCACAAACCCGGCCGCTCTCGTGCTAAACTTCACGAGTAAAGCGGACGAGGCCGTGTATAGGTGCAGAGTTGACTTCAAGCTTCACATCACCACGCATGCTCGGGTCAACCTCACTGTCATCGGTGAGTCAGTTTATAGATAACATTAATACAATAGTTCAAACTATTGCTTCTATAGTCGACGGATTAAGTTTTCGAACGGGCCCAAAAAACGTCTGGAAATGTATGTCTTGAGTTATACAATGTAAAGTGTAAACAGTATAAATAGTTATATTAATTTATCCCGAATTGAACGGTACAGAAATGAATACGACAATATTACCCATGTACAGCATAGAACGGGTGGATAGCAAGCACATGCAGAAAATGTATGTAGGTATTATACTGTGATTGATATGTACAGGCCGATAAACCTCGCTTGACAGACTGTTAGTCAAATAGGCTCAAAAAATATATCATCAATGTAATTATATTGAGAGCTGAAGCCGCAGTAAGGAACAATGGTTTTATGCTTGCCGCTTATTTTCGAGTGCATTATTACTGTTAGTAGGATTGATCATAAACTTACATATTCACAGTGTTATATAGTAAATAATAAAAGGGTTCATATAATTTACCAGTAATCTACTTGCTCGTGCAATTAAGTGTATATTATATTAATTTCTTCTGTGCATTATTAATCGAGAACAATTAATATTAACTGTTCAAATTCATCAAGTTTTATTCGCGGTTCGTCTTCCCTGAAGAGTGTCCTATCGTATTTCCCTTAGAATATTCAATGAGTCTTCTTGTGCATGCGTAGGGCCTCATCCTTGTACTTTGAGTTCATCATAGTCATAATAGTTCGGATTAATATTCGTGATATTGTATTTTGATTTTTTCATATTTATTAGTGAAAATTGGTAGTTGTGAGATTTGAAATTTGATTAAAACGGTCATTGTGCTAAGTGCACGTCGGGCGAAATTTACATTTTGCAGCCAAATATGCATGGTGGTAATTTTAAAATAATTCTAATGCGATGAGGATTTTTGTTTCCCTATCAAGCTTTACAAAATATTTATTGTATTTTCTCGATATTTCATTAAATGACGTTTCACTGCAAATGTCCTAAGCGTTGCATCTCTTGTGCCAGAGCCCATCACAGGCATCTCCATCAAAGACCCGTCTTGTATTTCCTCGATATTTCACATAATGGCGTTTTGCTGCAATTTTGATGCATTTTTTCTCTTGTGCCAGAGCCCATCACGGGCATCTCCATCCAAGACCCGAGTGGCTCTGAGCTGGTGGGGGTGGCGGGGCCGTATCCTGTAGGGTCCACCCCGTCTCTGACGTGCAGGGTGGTGGGCGGTGACCCTCCACCAACCATAACTTGGTGGAAGAACGGACACTTGCTCGACCAGTCGTACAGCTACAAGGAGAGCAAAGGGTCAGAGAAATACTTGGTTTACTGATGTTCAGATGTTTAACACCGAATATCATTTATTTTTTTGATTTATTAGCAATCATATAAGAAAAAAAGATATTAAGAATTTCCCCATCATTTTTGGACCGAGAACGTCATTGTATCTTTCATAAGAAAAAAAGATGTTAAGAATTTCCCCACAATTTTTGGACCGATAACGTCATTGTATCTATTATAAGAAAAAAGAAACAAATATATTAGGAATTTCCCCACAATTTTTTGGCTGATAACGCCATTGTATCTTTTAATAAAACAAACAGAAAACTTGAATCGATAGTTTGACCAGAAGGCTAAAATAGAACAGCAAACTAGCCGATGAATTTGCGCCGATTTGATACATTCAAATAATAAATTTAGTCTTGTAACTTTAAAGTTATACTATTATTGATACATCAGTTTTTTCGAATATTGAACGAATTTTTTGTTGTTTAAAAAATGTACATACTCTAATATATACAAGGGATTATTGGAAACCATAAGATTCCGACAATCAACATAACGCATGCAATAAGTGTTCCTTTACTATGCAACACATTTTTATATATTTAAAAATCCGATTTCTTGCACCTAATTAAACCTGATTACATTCCGTGGCTCAGGTCGGACCTGGGATTACGCAAGTCTCCCGTGCTGCTAAGCACCGTCCAGCTGCATCCTCTCACCAGACAAGACCTGCGCGCCTCCTACACATGCCGCGGTGCCAACCACGACATGGCGCCTGTGCTGGAGTCCACCGTCGAGATCGACATGAACTGTGAGTAACAGCTGTATCTAGTGTGAGGCATGAGCTGTAAGTAGTTACAGTATCTAGGGCGAGGCATGAACTGTGAGTAACTTCGGCATCTAGCGTGAGGCATGAGCTGTAAGTAACTTCGGCATCTAGTGCTGGGCATGAGCTGTGAGTAACTTCGGCATCTAGCGCAGGGCATGATCTGTAACAACAGCATCTAGTGCGGGGCATGAGCTGTAACAACAGCTTCTAGTGCGGGGCATGAGCTGTAACAAAAGCTTCTAGTGCGGGGCATGAGCTGTAACAACAGCTTCTAGTGCGACGCATGAGCTGTAAAAACAGCTGCATGGCCTGAGCTGTAAGTAATTACAGTATCTAGAGGGAGGCCTGAACAGTAAGTAATTGCAGTATCTAGAGCGAGGCATGAACTGTAAGTAATTGCAGTATCTAGAGCGAGGCATGAACTGTATATAACAACAATATATAGAGCGAGGCATGAGATGTAAGTAATTACAGTATCTAGAGCGAGGCCTGAACTGTACATAACAAAGCATCTAGAGCGAGGTCTGAACTGTAAATAATTACAGTATCTGGAGTGAGGCATGAACTGTTTATAACAACAGTATCTAGACTCCAGAGCGAGGCTTGAACTTCAAGTAATTAAGCATCTAGTGCGAGGCATGAACTGTGGGTAACTACCGTATCACCATTGGTGTCCAGCCGTGAATATCCATGTTTCTATAAAAACTTTATCATCGTCCCCAGTGACAGCAGCTCAAGTCAATAAAATAGGTAACTTATCTACACAAATCAAGAACTCCATGTTTGTTTGTCACGTTTTGGCATGAGTTGTTGTTCCTTTGTTATGACCGGCACTGCTCGCGTTACAGCTGTTTAGAAATGTAATCAGCGTTTTGTTCGGCAGGGCTGAAGTAAGCGCGATCAAGAAGCTAAACAAATAAAATGGGGCATTTTTTTTATTTTGATGAACCGCATGATTGTAAATTTAGAACGCATATATAATGTCAATACTCCGCAGAATGTATTTACAAGCCAATTATTAATAGTAGTGTTTCAATTCTAAGAAGATTTCTAGATATTATTTATTCTTTAAGCATCGCCGAGCGAGGAAAGGCGCTCTAGCACGTATGAGTTGACCATACTGTGTAGACTACATTTCGTTCTCAATAAATTATAGCCTTTATTTTTTATTGATTTAATGCTTACAAATTTGTGACATGTGAAAGACACACTCCTTAGCATAATAAATGTCAAGTTATGAAAATTTGTTAAAAAAATTCACGTGCAGTACATGAATATATAACTCTATTATATCCCTTATATGTCAGACGGGTCATGCTTTATAGTCAAATTTACGACTACTTATTGAACTGGAACATAAAATGGTCTACATTCTAAGATATTAGGTCTCTCATGCGAGGTTTCGGTGATTATTTAAGATTTTATGCACTTGATCGATTATCCTCTCTGATTATAGCCTAGGGGCAATCGTGTAATCCATTACAGAACTGATTCGGTCCAGCTCCGTGGCTATGTAAGAGAATATACGACGCTCGAATATTAACCATTGATCGTTCGTTGGCTTATATTCCACGCATTAAGGCTCAGCTAAAGTGACTCCGATAATCTGAGTCCAATCCACGTACGATATGGCCCTCGATTGCTCTGAAATAATCGAAAGAATTTAAAACCCTCGCTCGCATGCGTCGGCTGACATCGGCTAACGCACAGAATTCCAGGATCGAGCGATTGAGTGGCACATTCTCAAAAATACAGTTCAGGGCTCATTACGACTGCCATCTTTGAAAGCTTTTAAAGTGGATTTTAAATTGACTTCTGATCGAGCTTAATTTGACTGCACCATGGATATTTTAACGCAATGGCAAAACTTCGAGAGACATTTGGTTTAAAATGGACTGAGCACGCATCACCAAAATGGAGGTATAACGTTGAAAGCATTCACGTTTGCTGCGCACTCACTTTACGCTGTTGGTATTTTTAAACATTACAAAAATTAGAATTTTCGAATATTAAATCGAATTATGAATTATATTGACAGTGCTTAGTGGAAAAATTTTTTTTAAAAACGTGTAAAATTTTTGCATCAATCGAGAACATTTAATTGTATCAAAGCAGACTTTGAAAAAATCTGTAGGCAGACTTTATAGAGAAAAGTTGATTTTTTGAAATGTAAATTCGAATTAGACTTCGTCGGAATCTAAATTTCCCGTTTCCTCGCATATAATATTCGATATTACACTCTACTATTGATGGACGCTAACGATGTGCCGTAAATCAAAATCACGACGTACTTTTAAGTATGTATAGTTGCGTATAACTCTTACCTCAGCCGAAATGACGGTCATCAACGTAACTTCTAATGGACAGAAGCACACATAATCTCAGATATATACTCAAAAATGAATGAATACTAGCATTCGTACCACATAAAGTAGTTCTGCGCGTATAAGATTCTAGTCAGTCCATAATTTCTTACCAGATTCACTCTTATTAACCCGCAACAGAATAATGGACCGATGATGCATTATCGTAGCCTAAAATAAGGTGAATAATTGGAGGCCCCTGTCTGAGTCGAGCGATAGGCAGCTACTGCACGTTGGTGACATGAATCATTAATGACGCCAGGGCGATTTCTTGTGTCGCTTCTGAAAAATAAAGCCCGGCAGGTCCGCGAAGAGAAAAAACCTATAATACAGCGCCATAAATAGAGAGCTTTGTTTCGAGCTCCGAGGGAGAATATAGGTCTTCTCTGTTCGCTTGAGGAATGGCATGAGTCGTACTGAAACGAATGATAATTTTGTCTGCACTTCGTAGTCTACAGTACAGTTGTTGCCATGGCAATGCAAGGTAATTATTATTAAATTTTTGTAAGTCAAAAATTATGTGTCTTTCGTAAGTCAAAAATTGTATGTCGGTGCTTTATCCGATCATTATTAGCTCATGCAATAATTACAAGAATTTTCCATGTTAACACTTTTTTCTTCAAATAATTTTTCTACTGTTCGGAAAACGGGAATTTTGGTCTGTTTCCCTTATTTAGTTTGTGGTGAGTAATTTGTCCCTATTGATCACAATTAATTGCATGAGATGAATTCCCCGTCCAAATGCCACATTTCAGTGCCACAATGCCTTCTCACAATCACATTCTTATCGATAATAATGAAATTTCCTGGAAAATTCACAGCCAATCTGAGAGGCATCGATAATTTATTATTTTCATTTAAGTTTCTATAAATCAACTTACTTTGATTCAGTGCAACAAAGCATTAATGCCTTTTACTATCGGATTTGAAAAATTTCCAATGTACTTTAATGAAGTATAAAAATTTCAGGGTTTGAGACATTAACATTCTTCACCAGAAGATTAATGGCTATACGCTGGGTAGAGCTGCAATTTATCAAGTGAAAAGCTCCTGAACTTGCAGCGAAATTATATGAAAATAAGCCATTGTTACATTTTCGCACTTATTGATATGGCGTGCACTGATAATTATAAAAAAGTTATCTCTATGTTTGAAAATCTTTAGCGCTTCTCAAAAGCTATTTCGGATCGAACATCTTATTGAATAATTAATGTCTAAATTGTTAGCATTAGGACGAATCTTTGAACATAACTTTTTTGCATCGCATAGAATAAAATGAGTTCCCGATCGACCACATTCTATTATTAGAATAGAATTGAATTGTCGGCACTGAAGAAATAGGCCCATAGCCTGTTGCCGATTCGTGTACTTTTCGTGACTTGATTCACAAGGGATCCGGCCTTTGGAACTCGATCTTTCCATAACTGACGTTATAAAGATCGTTACACATTATTTATTTTGTCTGGTGGCTTTAAATTCTGATCATCCGAATTAATTTGAACTATGTACTCTCTGAAGCGACATTTCCAGCCCCCAGCCGTCCTCCACTGCCACATCAGAGGAGATTGCATTAGCAGCTAATGACGTTAGTATGAGGGCAAGCTACCGACGTTAATGCGGTAGAATATTCCAGAATTCATTGAACTATAATAATACGCATGGACCAGCAGCGCCAAAATTTTCAATAACATGGTGTGATATGATAAACATTTTTAATAGTTTTTCAGAGTATTAAGCAAACAATAAGCGGTTTAAAATGCCTCACAAAAAAATTATTTCGACTATATAGCGGCTCTATTCCGAACATGAAAGAAAAATATTCCAACTTGGCGCCATTTTTATCGAATTCGCGGTTGGCGCCATTTTTATCGAATTCGCGGTTGAATAACATTACCGTAAAGGAAATTTATTACAAGGGTAATTGCCTTACAGGTTAAATTATCACGCATATGCGACTGATTTCATGAATCAATAGGTTTTACCTCAAATCCTTGCACTCATTAAGAGCACATACATGGCAAGGTAATATATAGGCTGAACGACAAGTTAATCTAGCAATTTGGTCAACGTGAAATGACTCCTAATTAAATAATATAATTAAGAGATTAACTTGTCCTTCTGCCTAATGCAGTTCTGACCTACAGCACGCAGGACAAAATTAAAATGAATCTAAACATTTCTAACTTGGCGAGAAATTACAGAGCCTGGAAGAAATGGAGTTTGCGTTCTTAATTCCCGATGAGAGCTCGAGCAAACAAGTGTTCACTGAAGTTGATCATGGTCTCGGCCGAAATTGTTCTCGAAGTTCTGGATCTTCAGGCAATCCAAAAAAAGGCACGAGGATAACTCATTCATGTTTCTAAAAGTTAATTTACTCAAGGGTTGAATTGCAGTTGAATGAAACTCGCCGTTTACAAAATTGCAAGGCAAGAAGAAAAGGAAATCGAAGGAGTTTCAGTGTCCTTAATGTTTAACTTAATCTCAGCCTGTCTGAGAGTTATTTAATTTTTATGTGGATGACTTTCCAAGCTGCTTTTATCAAAGCTCCTTTCAACTTGTTGGAGTTGTCATTGAATAAATGTTGGAGTTTGCTTCTGTTGGGTAGGAGCGTGGACAGTT